TTGTAGATATTTTTAGAAGATTTTGCAAACATGATGATCATGGCAAAATTATCATAGCAAAGTTAGCAAAACTATCACAGCAAAATTAATAATGTTATCATAACAAAATCAATATTATGATACTAGCTAAAGTAACATTTAGATCATAACAAAACTAATATAAGTATCATAATAAAAGTATCATTTGTATAATCTCTAAAATATATAAAAGTAATGTATCTTAGCTAGTAAATTTAGACAGGTAGTCAGATAATTAGTCAGTTAGATATTTTAGTTATTTAGTTTAGTTTAAGTTCTATGAGTTTAATTCTTAACTTACATTTTAGTAAATTATAATTTTAAGAGAATTCTAAGGAATCTCTCTTGTAGAATAGATCTTAATTAAGATCTATTAATTTATTTTGTTAATAAACTAAACATTACATCTGTCTTGAAATTACATATTGAAATTGGACTATATTCTAGCTAGTCACAATAAAAATACTATTATTATCTATCTTTAAAATAACTTTAAAATAATAGTATTTATATTTTTGTTAATAAATCCTTTAAAGACTCTTCCAAATATTACTTTAAGCATGTAATTACTTTTATTACGTGCTTTTGTAATATTAGATTTAATACTTACCCTCATCTCAGAACTCATATTAAAAAGGTAATAATATATATAATAAAATTTTATTATATCTGAGTCTAGTACTATAAAGATTATTATCAATTATTTATAAAAATATAAAGTATTTTTGACAAACTTTTTAATTTATAAATTTTATTTAATAGATTTAATATAAATAATTTAAATTTATAATTTTTAAATATTATTTTCAGAAAATAAAATTAGATAATTATAGAAATGTGTAATTATAAAAGATTTTTTTAAATTATAGTTATTTAACTAGAAAAATTCAAATCAAGTAGCTATAAAAAATATATTTATAAAGAAATATTATTATAAAAAATCTAATTATAATTTTTATATATGAAATGTATTTATTATTCCTAAATAAAATTATAAAAATTAAACTAAAATTACAAAATTATATAAGATATTAAAAATTGTTATTTATGAAAATATAATATATTTTCTATAAAATTTAAAATTATAAATTTAAAAATTTTAGTTTACTTTAATTAAAATTAAAATTTCATATAATTATATTTATAAATAAAATTATAATTCTAAATTAAGATTATAATTTATATTATTATACTTGAATTCAAACTCAAAATCAAAATTCAAGTTTAAAATAAATTAAATTCAAATCAAAATTCAAACTTTTTAAACTTTTTTCAAATATTAATTCTTACAAAAATATTATATATAATTATTAAAAAGATCTTAAAATCGCATCTTTTACATAATAAAAATCTTATTTAAAAGATCTATAATAATTAATTATTAAATAATTATATATCTTTATTAATTAATTATATCTAATCAAAATTAAAAATATTAATATAAATAAATAGGTTTTGATATTATATTATTATATATTTTTTAAAAAATAAATATTACACATTTTTCTTAAGTAAAATGTGAAAAGATACCAACTTTTTATAAGTAAAGAATAATTTTGTAATACTAAATAAAAAGATTCTTTACAAAAAAGAAAATTATCATAATCACTTTTTATATAAATGTTGTGAATATGGATTCTGAATCCACTTAGCGTGTAATAGTGAATTAGGTGAATAAATAAAAATTAAATTACAAAGTTATTATTTTATCTATAAATACAAAAAAGAAATAAACGCTGTTGTTATCAACATCCAGTCCATGTGATCTTTACACGACCATCTGCTTCATTTGCAATTTTCTGGAGAAAATTAAAACAATGAGTTGAATTTAAAATCGTGTATGTAAAAAATATAATATTATCATAGAATCGAATTTAAATAAATGTGATACAAACATTAAAAGCAACGGGTGATAAATCAACGTCACCACTTTTACAAACAGGACACTAAATACAAAAATAATATGCAAAGGTTAATTGACTTTTACCTTCAACTTGAAAAATGCAAACGTAAATTCCATAAAGGCAAAACATACTTTATCCATTATTTTTACTTTAACACTCCCTTTGGGGCCGTTGATTTTTATACATGCACCGCATACGGGAGAGTTTGCCGGATTCGCAAAGACTCCGAATTGAGGCGCATTCTAGTTTATTATAAAAGTATTGATACTTATCATTTTTATTAAGCAAATTAAAAGTAATAGCAACAAAAGACTTACAAGTGCAGCAACAAATTCGTGATCATTGTTCAATTCGCCACACGCTCCTGTTCCCACACCTGGATCTATTCCATCAAGAAATTAATCAGTTAATATTAAAATGAATTATTAATTGTAATATAATAATAAGAAAAAAACAAATCAAAAAACAAACCATAATAAGTTCCATCACCAGATCCACTCAACGTCAGCCCCGGTCTTCCAACATCCGCGCTACCACCAGATCCAATTCCTGGCCCATTCCCATTAAATTTCCCAATTACAGCCAACAGAATCACCACAACGACCCCAATCACAAACAGCACCAAAGCAACATATAACGCTTTTTTGTATTGTCGTATAGTTGGATGTCGCGTTTCGAACCAGGTGTCGAAACGTCTTAATGGTGATGGAGTAAAACCATCATTATTATGATGATGATGATGATGATGATGATGATGATGATTATTATTATTATTATTTTGACTTGGTAATTTTGGTAGTTTTTTATTTTCTTCGGCGGATACTACCGAAGACCGGTTTCGATGCGAAAATGATATGTGTATTGGTGATGTTGGTGATGATGTTGAATTATTTTTTCCTGATTTTATACTTAGTTTGCGTGGTGGCAGTGGAGGTGGTGTCCGATCGATTATCTCAATATCATCAGATCCATTGATATTATAATTATTGTGATGTGTGCGTGATGCTGTCTCAATATATCCATTATGTTGTTATTAACATTAATATATTAAACTATTGAAATAATCAAAATACTAAGATAAATTAAAGACATACTGTTGTTAACATCTGCTGCATTCCTCAGGCCTTTTGGATTTCGTGGAGGAAGCGGGGGTAATAACTGGTCGTCTTGCGAGGTAGAATTACCAGCAACTAGTTTGTTATCATTAGTTCTAGGTGGAAGGGGTGGAGGTGGGCGTACTGGAATGTGAGCTTTTGCCTTGTCATCATCTTCGACATTATCACCATGCGGAGTTACGGTTATTTGTGCGTCTACATATTGCGGATAGGAATTTAAATAGTTCATTTTTTTGTATAATAATAGTGTCTATAAGACAAAAAAAGAAATTTGTCTCGGTTTAAGGGATAATGTATATAGAAAGTAAAATACAAAAGACCAGCTTCGAATTCTTCAGCAGTAATAGTTCAAAGCGAAAACACCCATTCTTTGATATGAAACCGAATAAAAAAAGCAAGCAAGCTTGTCAAGAATCGAATGGTGGTTCTTTGTTATGCATTTTTTATTCATACTTTTCCTTCTCGTGGGTTAGTTAGTAAAGTAGGTAAAGTAACACGGTTGGTAAACAATGCAATATTAATAATTATAGTAAGTATCTTATATTATTTTGATCATCATTACATCATTGTTGATAATTCAATATTCTTTGTCAAATATAAATAAGTCCGCTTTGCATATTTGAGCAAGA